TTGTAATGATATTTATACAAAACGAAATCAGGATGAAAAACCACCAAAGCCTCTAGATGAAAAAAAATTACGGAAAATGCGGATGAATTTGGAGCCGTTTCGACTATAGTGCAAGTCCCATATGAACTGGCCAACCAATATTCTTCTAATGGGGTGACTATCTCAGACAACGATGTGATCCAACGTCCAAAGACTTACGCATGACGTTTTTTTATGAGAGAATGCCACGCAGAATTTACAGACAGGTGTCGGCTTTGGTTTTCGTATTGACTCAGGTAATAGAGGAACCGAGGAAAGAAAGAGAGAGAGAGAGTAAAAAACGAGCAAGAGAGCAAGATGGGAGAGGAGAGGGCGGGAGAGAAGTAGGCAGGCAGGCAGAGAGGAAGACAGACAGACAGAGAAAGAGAGAGAGAGAGAGGAGAGAGAGAAAGAGAGAGGAGAGAGAGAAAGAGAGATAGACGATAGAGAGGAGCGGCAGGACGCAACGCGCTGCGCGCTGAGGGAGAGATGAGAGAGCGGAGAGAGAGAGAGCAGAAGAGAGCTAGAGAGATAGATAGACAGAGAGAGGAGAGGGGAGCGAGAGAAATAGAGTAGGACAGAGACGTAATGACATGAGAGAGGGACACACACGACACACACACACACACACACACACACACACACACACACACACACACACACTACACACACACACTACACAACACACACACACACACACACACACACACACACACACACACACACACACACACACACACACACGCACGCGCACACGTACACGCACACGCACACACACTCGCACATACATACACACTCGAACCACATACTCGCTATGCGTACGACGACGCGTAACACGTGCGTACAATGCGAGCTTTGAACGCAGCTGGCGACCCTCCCTGCAGTAGCGTTCTACGGGGACTACTATATTACGCGCGCGTGCGTGAGAGAGCGCTGAAGTCGGCGGGTCGAAGTCGCGGTGGTGATTATGATCATTTCGCCGTGATCGTTATGCAGTTTTTGCGTCCTCCCACTCCCCCAGGCTCCAACACTCACACACACACACACACACACGCGCGCGCGCACGCTGCCGTGACCGGCGGCCCACACCTGACGCGCATCGGTCAGCCGCACGCGTTTGGCTTGCCGCCATCCACGCAGCGTTGACTCCTCCCCCTCCTCCCCTTCTCCTCCCCCTCCCTCTCTCTCTCTCTCTCTTTCCGTCTCGCTCGTGCGGCGAGCGCTCGTGCGTGACTCGCGAAATACAGGCGCGCGCGCGCATGCGGCCGGGCGCATACGTGCCGAGCGAGGTAGAGAGAGAGAGACGCACGCGCACGCACACGCTCTCTCTGTTGTTCCCCTGCCGTCGGCTGCGTGGCTTGGATTGTCTGCGCGCTGCGAAGAAACGAGAGCGGCAAAGACATGCGAAGTGCGGGCGTCGGACATTGCGAACAGACGTGTTAAGGACGCTGACGTGAAAAATCGCGCGTCGTGCAAACGAACGCTCGTGCGATAAATGCGTGAAAATTGCGAGTTGGTTGTGTGGCGGACTTCACAGGCCGCGTCCGGTATCAGGAAAATCGTCTTTAGTGTCTTAAACGCAAAAACAATGGAGACGTGATCGAAGCTGCGGGAGGATGCCGCGATAAAGGTAGGAAGAAGTTACATCGCATCGGAAGCGTGTTTCGTAATATTAGCCTTATACAAGGAGACATCAACTTCCTTTGGGATCCGTAAGCTACGTTTATTTCTTTATCGAGCTAATTGTTCGGGGAGTTGGTGCGAAAACGAGGTTGCTATAGGCTCTCATTAGAAAGTGACCCTGCTATCATGCATTGTTTCCCCCGACCGTAATCACGGTGCAGTTGAAATAATATTGTTAGCAAGTCATCCGCTGACCATGGGTGGGTGCTCCCCCGCCTACAGCACTCGCATTGTCCGCTGGCACCTGCATCCAGGATACAGGCGCGAATTACTGGTGTGTAGAGGAAGTGATTATTGGTGGACGTTGTTGGTGTGTACTTTGTTTGACCGCTGGCCGGCCGCGGTGCAGCCGCGGTCGGTGTGTGCGTTTCTGCCACATGTTTACAACTCTGTTTGCGAAGAAACATCGGGGAGAATCGTGGTGCGGGAATGGGAGAGAGAATAAGCGTGTATTGGTGCGAGATAAGAGCTGGCTGCGCGTGGGCGCGTCGGAATTATGCACACTCCGATTCATGCTCGTGTGAACACTTTACTTAATGCTTGTTGCTACAATGTATCGCCGGCTAAATAGTAAGTCTATGTAATAACGGTCTGACCTTGTACTCATCGTTTCTGGGCGACACTGCGTGCCCGCATGCAACTATCTCCCCATCTCTACCCGCTAACCCTGTTATTACGGCCTTAAATTGCCCCTCGTCCCAGACGAAAGCAGGTTCCTAGACTGGGCACAGTATTTCGCATGATCTTATCAGTATACTATGTAAGTCTATTAGTACTATAAGTCTCCCTCACAAGATGCCTTTCGTGAAAGCTAATACAGGATAAAGGTAAAGCTATAGGCGTAGAGAGTCGACGTATGCACGCTGCGTTAATGTTGTACATGTGCAAGAAAAGTTCGAGTTCACTCTAATTTATGCGTTAGTGATTATATGATGTAATTACTCAGGATAATGTAATGAAGTCGGTATTGTGTACCGCTTACGTACTATTCGGGCTGTATACGGGCCACCTGCTCTCTGATACCATGATACTAGGGAAAGAAATTCTTTCCATTCTTTCCATAATAATAATAATAAGACTGACTTCGTGATTTAGCGGGTTGCTTTGCTTTTTAGTTTACGTTCACTGATACCGTGTAACGCTACGAGTCTGTGCACTGTAACGGATAACTGTTGCAGTATCACGCAATGGTCCATAAAATTTAAGCGAACGCGGTATAGATTCAGCAGTGACCATGGACCGCCACATCCTGTGTACCTGTTTCGCGGTCGCTACACTTAGCAATTATTCAGCTTATCACTCGAAAAATGAACAACCTATAGATATCATTTCAATAACTGCTGATTACGGACCGTATATCATGCCAGTGGAGGGCCGCACGTTGCAATCTCTGCTATCTGTAAGAGTGCAGAACCAAATTTTGCTGGCGAATTGCTATCTGTATTTGCTGTATTTGTTATTGGTATTTTTCTATCTGCAAGAGCTCATAGCAGAACTTTGCTGGGAAAATTAGCGGGCTCGCCGTGCGTGACCACCGCAGCAATGGTGCGCCTGAGCAGAAATGTTTTAACTAAATGCATTATTCAGCGGTAATTGCCGAACTCAAGTAAACACTCCTGTATTATGCAAACTGGTTGTGTTCTATTTTTCTCGGGGTGGGTGGGTGGGGGGGGGGCAATATCAGCGGCAATGGTTTGCAATGCTTACGTTTTCAGGCTCCGATGAACCGGCTATTTGCGCACGCACTGCTATGTTTCTACGGGAAGACTGCCGAGCATCGATTAACCCTCTCCCCCACTCCTCCTATTCGAAGCCACTCCGTAGCTTTCATGTTCCCGATATTGCGCAGAGCCGTAAATGGTAGCTTAATGAGGTTTCGTGCCCTGGAGTAATTAATGCGTGGATTTCATGCCAGATGCGCCGGAGCAGTTGTTGCCGGAGAGTTCATTGCGAGAGCTTTTATCAAATTACCTCCTGACTTTTCAGGTGCATGACGTTGTACGTCGAGCTGTTTCTGTGTACGTGAAAGCGGTTGATGCGCCCCATGAGATCTCTCTTCGTTTTATTTTCCGTCGATAAATTAGCGCGATGGTACGTCCATTTCCCGCTCAACGAAACCGTTTTCTTTGCGGCATTACGGCAGCGCTGTTTGCAAAACGATGTCAACAGATAATGGAGCGAAGTGAATTTAACACAGGAGTTACGATTTTACGCAGCGACGTGACAACAGTGATATTGTATCTGCGTGAGCGGGGAGGGTGCGGCGCGGTGCGGCGGAGAGGGGGGATGTACATCACGTATGATCTCCTTCTGGCGTCAATCGACGATGGCTGCTGCTCCTCGCCGTATGTATTACAGCACGACGCAGACGAGATCTATCAACGCGGCAACGTATATCGATATCGGTAACGCGATAATCATATGCGCTACTGATGGGACGGGCGGACTCACACACACACACACTCACACACACACACACACACACACACACAAGCACACACACACAC